AAGGGGCCACTTCCCCTCTGACCACCCATGTAAGGGGACACTTCTCCACTGACCGCCAATGTAAGGGGACCCTTCTCCTACTGACCACCAATGTAAGGGAGCCCTTCTCCACTGACCACCAATGTAAGGGGCCACTTCTCCTCTGCCCACCAATGTAAGGGGACCCTTCTCCACTGACCACCCATGTAAGGGGACACTTCTCCTACTGACCACCAATGTAAGTGAGCCCTTCTCCACTGACCACCAATGTAAGGGGCCACTTCTCCTCTGCCCACCCATGTAAGGGGACCCTTCTCCTACTGACCACCAATGTGAGGGGCCACTTCTCCTCTGCCCACCAATGTAAGGGGCCACTTCTCCTCTGCCCACCAATGTAAGGGGGCCACTTCTCCTCTGCCCACCAATGTAAGGCGCCACTTCTCCTCTTCCCACCAATGTGAGGGGCCACTTCTCTAACCACCAATGTGAGGGGCCACTTCTCCTCTGCCCACCAATGTGAGGGGCCACTTCTCCTCTGCCCACCAATGTGAGGGGCCACTTCTCTAACCACCAATGTGAGGGGCCACTTCTCCTCTGACCACCAATTTAAGGGGCCACTTCTCCTCTGCCCACCAATGTGAGGGGCCACTTCTCTAACCACCAATGTGAGGGGCCACTTCTCCTCTGCCCACCAATGTAAGGGGCCACTTCTCCTCTGACCACCAGTGTATGGAGGCAGATCACTACTGACCACATATTACACATATCCGTATACAAAATTCTCTTTTTACCTGAAGAAAAAATGAAAACAAATGTTTAAAAATGTTTTTATTTAGTTCTGATCGTAATATATAAAGAAATAAATACGCGGTATATGAAACCACTATTCGGTTAGGGTGACCACACTCACACACGTATGTGCGCAATGGTCACGTGTCTACAGATTGCTGTTGAGTCTCCAGGATTTCACCAGGCAAGTTCTGATCTCTCTCATCCTGTAGCCGTAGATAAGCGGATGTACGGTGGCAGGAAACAGGTAGTAGATGGCGCTGGTGAGGTTCTGAATGTCCAGTGAGATGGGGATCCTGTAAGCGACGGAGGAGAGAAGACCACAGGAATAATTCACAACCACCACAGAGAGGTGCGTGCCACACGTGTGCAGGGTTTTGTGGCGATCTTTCCCCATAACGACCTTCACGGTGGCACTAAGTATGCAGCCATAGGAAATAAGAAGCAGCGTGATGTCCAGGGCGGTCACCACAATCCTCACCATGAGCCCCACTATCTGGATTCTGGTGGTGTCCCCGCAGGCGAGGTTCAGGAGAACCATATTCTCACAGACAAAGTCCAGGATGAGGTTAGAGGTGCAGAAGGAGACCCTAGAGGCCACAATAATGATCGGAGAGACTAACAGACTGCATTCAACCAGACCAGCCATAGACAGCAGCATCAGCAAGCGGCTGGTCATGATGTCATGGTAGCGCAGGGGCCTACAGATGGCCACATAACGGTCCAGCGCCATCACGAGCAACACATTGGACTCAAACATGACCATCGTGTAGGTGAAGAACATCTGAAACAGGCAGGTAGCCAGCGAAGTGCGATCCATGCCCAACAACACGCTCAGGACCGCCTTGGGCACGATGGCGGTGGTGCCGATGATGTTGACGGAGAAGAGCAGAGCCATGAGGATATACATGGCAGAGTGCAGGCTTGGCTCCACCCAGATTCTGTAGATGATCAGGATATTTCCGGCCACAATGACAGAATATACGACGAGGAACGGGATGGAGAGGAGATGCCGGGACCGCGAGATCCCAGGGAAGCCGAACAAGATGAACTCTGTGTGCAAGAAGGCCAAAGAGCGGTTCGTATCTGAAGCTTCCATTCCGGGGAAATCCTTTCCTGCGTTTTCCTGATATAAATAAAAATCACAAATTAATATTGTATAAAAAATATCTCCTGTCATCCAATATGCAGTAAAAAGATGGAAAATAAGAAGCCCTTTGCAGACAGACCCGGAGAGACTAAGCGGAGGGGCTACGTGACTGGGGGGGGAATAGTCCCGGGAGAAAGGGTTAAAAAATAAAATGGGAATAGCTGCTCTTACCTGATTGGACGTGGGAGTCAGGTGTCCGGGAGGAGCCGCATGGGAAGGAGCTGCGAGGGCTGAGGGACGTCCTCTTTCTGGAAATCGACGAAGGAAGCAGGTTGTCCCACCCTCCCTCCCTGAATTTGGTGGTTATGGGGGGTTTCTTTTGTCACGGCAGCTTGGCGGGTTAGGGGGTCTTTGGGGGGTCTACAAAATCGGAGTTCATTACAAAATGTGGAGGGCCCTCAGCTGGTATGGGTGCTTCCCCCTGTTGGTGTCCGGATTTGTAAAGGGCGGGGGCCTGGCCCCTTGGGAACCCGGAAGGAGTAAGTGTCCTCGAGCTGGTTGTGGTGCGGCTGGGGACATGGGTGGAGTGTTATGAGAGGCCTTTTTGGGGCTGGCGGGCACCCAAAGACCCCTTCTCAGGTCAACCCTTGTTAAAGTATTATTTTTGTATATTTGGTTTATTACTTTGGTTATTGTTAAAGTTGTTTGTTTAATAAAAGGGCTGCTGTGGCCGTTAAAATCCATGTCGCGCAGTCCGTGTGTTTATTGGGGTTTTTAACGGAGGGACAGAAAATTGACGAATCCATCAGTCATGAAGCTTTGCCTTTTCATGGGGCTGTTCGGGGCAGATGTGCCGTAATGAAGCCGTGGAAACCAGACCGAGGCGAAGTCACTGAATCATCAAATTACAAAAACTACAAAAATTGTAAAATTCAAATATTTCACGAGTTCGGTTTTGGAATGGCGTACGTGAGGTCTCCTGAGGAGTCAGCATGGACGTCCCCCTCCAAATCCATACCAGATCCTGACCCCAGCATGCAACCTGGCTGGCCACAAAAAGGGGGAAAGGGCCAGCAAGCGTGCACCTCCTCCTTCCTCAACATTGGGAGGGTGACATGCTACAGATCATGGGGCCCCCTGGTAACCTCTCTGTCAGGGCACCGTGAGCGGGTGTCCCCCACACCGCATGCAGGTACCCACGCAGGGTGACCAAATTACTATGACCACACTAGATAAGGTTATAGGCACACGGTTTATTAAACAGAAACACAAAAACACAACAACAACCCCACCAACCCCCACAAGTATCAAACAATAACCCAGGAACTGCAAACAGGGTATACAAGCCAGGTAAACCCAAGGAGCCGGGCCACACCAGGGGAGCTGGGCCACACCAGGGGAGCTAAGGGACAAAGGGTCAGGGTACAGGCAGGTGACAGGACTCAAGCTGGGCCACACCAGGGGAGCTAAGGGACAACGGGTCAGGGTACAGTCAAGTAACAGGACTCAAGCTGGGCCCCATCAGGGGAGCTAAGGGACCAAGGGTCAGGGTACAGTCAAGTAACAGGACTCAAGCTGGGCCCCATCAGGGGAGCTAAGGGACAAAGGGTCAGGGTACAGGCAGGTAACAGGACTCAAGCTGGGCCACACACGGGAGCTAAGGGACCAAGGGTCAGGGTACAGGCAGGTAACATGACTCAAGCTGGGCCACACCAGGGGAGCTAAGGGACCAAGGGTAAGGGTACAGGCAAGTAACATGACTCAAGCTGGGCCACACCTGGGGAGCTAAGGGGCCAAGGGTCAGGGTACAGGCAGGTAACATGACTCAAGCTGGGCCACACCAGGGGAGCTAAGGGACAAAGGGTCAGGGTACAGGCAGGTAACAGGACTCAAGCTGGGCCACACCAGGGGAGCTAAGGGACAAAGGGTCAGGGTACAGGCAGGTAACAGGACTCAAGCTGGGCCCCATCAGGGGAGCTAAGGGACCAAGGGTCAGGGTACAGGCAGGTAACAGCACTCAAGCTGGGCCCCATCAGGGGAGCTAAGGGACCAAGGGTCAGGGTACAGGCAGGTAACAGGACTCAAGCTGGGCCACACCAGGGGAGCTAAGGGACAAAGGGTCAGGGTAAAGGGAGGTGACAGGACTCAAGCTGGGCCACACACGGGAGCTAAGGGACAAAGGGTCAGGGTACAGGCAGGTAACATGACTCAAGCTGGGCCCCATCAGGCAAGCTAAGGGACCAAGGGTCAGGGTACAGGCAGGTAACAGGACTCAAGCTGGGCCACACACAAGGGTCAGGGTACAGGCAGGGAACAGGACTCAAGCTGGGCCACACACAGGAGCTAAGGGACCAAGGGTCAGGGGACAGGCAGGGAACAGGACTCAAGCTGGGCCACACACAGGAGCTAAGGGACCAAGGGTCAGGGGACAGGCAGGGAACAGGACTCAAGCTGGGCCACACACAGGAGCTAAGGGACCAAGGGTCAGGGGACAGGCAGGGAACAGGACTCAAGCTGGGCCACACACAGGAGCTAAGGGACCAAGGGTCAGGGGACAGGCAGGGAACAGGACTCAAGCTGGGCCACACACAGGAGCTAAGGGACCAAGGGTCAGGGGACAGGCAGGGAACAGGACTCAAGCTGGGCCACACACAGGAGCTAAGGGACCAAGGGTCAGGGGACAGGCAGGGAACAGGACTCAAGCTGGGCCACACACAGGAGCTAAGGGACCAAGGGTCAGGGGACAGGCAGGGAACAGGACTCAAGCTGGGCCACACACAGGAGCTAAGGGACCAAGGGTCAGGGGACAGGCAGGGAACAGGACTCAAGCTGGGCCACACACAGGAGCTAAGGGACCAAGGGTCAGGGGACAGGCAGGGAACAGGACTCAAGCTGGGCCACACACAGGAGCTAAGGGACCAAGGGTCAGGGGACAGGCAGGGAACAGGACTCAAGCTGGGCCACACACAGGAGCTAAGGGACCAAGGGTCAGGGGACAGGCAGGGAACAGGACTCAAGCTGGGCCACACACAGGAGCTAAGGGACCAAGGGTCAGGGGACAGGCAGGGAACAGGACTCAAGCTGGGCCACACACAGGAGCTAAGGGACCAAGGGTCAGGGGACAGGCAGGGAACAGGACTCAAGCTGGGCCACACACAGGAGCTAAGGGACCAAGGGTCAGGGGACAGGCAGGGAACAGGACTCAAGCTGGGCCACACACAGGAGCTAAGGGACCAAGGGTCAGGGGACAGGCAGGGAACAGGACTCAAGCTGGGCCACACACAGGAGCTAAGGGACCAAGGGTCAGGGGACAGGCAGGGAACAGGACTCAAGCTGGGCCACACACAGGAGCTAAGGGACCAAGGGTCAGGGGACAGGCAGGGAACAGGACTCAAGCTGGGCCACACACAGGAGCTAAGGGACCAAGGGTCAGGGGACAGGCAGGGAACAGGACTCAAGCTGGGCCACACACAGGAGCTAAGGGACCAAGGGTCAGGGTACAGGCAGGTAACAGGGCTCAGGACTGCAAGCGGATAACAGGGCTCAGGAGACAAGACTCAGTCAGGGAAAGGCAACAGGCTACTGAGCCACAGTCCTGACTGCAGGGAGGGATTAAGTACCCTCCGAGGGAGCACCAGGTGATGGATAATTGCTGGCAGCTGGGAGACACCCGCAGGTGAGCACCGGAGTCGCAGGTTCCAGCACCACCCAGTGGTGATCGGGGTATCTGACAGTTCCTGGATGCCTGGAGACACCTGCAGGCGAGCACAGGAACTGCAGGACCTGGCTCCAGCGCCACCTGGAGGTGCTCTGGATCCTGACACTCTCTCTGTACCATCTGGCAGTGTCATATAGTATGCCAAAATCAAAGACAGACAGCAGGAGTACTGTGAGCATGATCTCCCCAATGGGACAGAGATATATAAAAAACAATTGGACAGGTGTCATAGCCCTCCCTTTTGGGTTTAGTTCTAATTTAAGGAGCTGATTTATGACTCTTCTGCCCCGCGTATAGCTGGGTAGATGTCGTTTGTATGGCATTACTGCCACTAGATGGCACTGAGAAGCATAGCATAGGCTCCTGAGGGCCATCTAGTGGCAGTAGTTCTATGCCTCTCCTCCTGCAGGCCCCTCAGCTTGCATTTTTGCTTTCAATTCTTTGATCTACCTTTCTAGATATGTCCGGTCACATGACACGCAGGGTCCTCTTCAGATCTTCTCCTGCGGGGGTCCTAAATGATGCGGCTGCTCTCTGTACCAGGACACTGTGTGTACAGGGTGTAGTGGTGACACCCCAGGCCTCACCCAGCACTCACAGTATGTCCTCAGTCTGCTGCCATCATTCAACCCAAAAGACTGAGGACATATAGTGGCAGAAGATCCATGTAAGGAGATCAGGATTTCCATCTTCTGCCCCGTGTGTTGGTGAGTAGTGATGGTGGCCCAGCTTGGACCTGCCTATGTACAGATCACGCTTCACTGGAGAGGTCAGCAAAGATAACTCCGGACCTGAGATCCGGCCAAAGAAGAAACTGACCGATGACCTTCCCATTGTTTTGGTGAAAATTGTAATCCCCTCTAGTGGTCATTGTACCACCCAGAGCACGGAATGAACGCTCACCCAACACTGTGCCCAGGTGATGGTGGGCCATCAGGGTACACATGACTCTCCTCTCTAATGAGGGCTTGTTTAAAGGGACAAAACACACCTCAGGTCCACCTTCCATATGGACTCCAACGTATGTCACCAAAATGTCACCAAAATCTCCAAATTATAACCCAAATTTTAGGAAAATTAGAACTTTAAATTTTCACTCATCTGTACTGTGAGCTTTACTGTTGGTACCCGAAATTTATTTTCAGTGCAAGGTAATTTATACTCTGTAGACCGTAATCAGCATGTGGTCACCTTACCACCAGAGGCTCCTGTATGAAATGTATACAATCCCACACCCCCCCACATGACAGGACTTGGGTCTGATGGCTGGTCACTTGGAGTTAGCAGGAGA